AAAATACATAATTAAAATGTAATTGAAACAAATTTCTAACATTTTAAATAAATAATTAAATATTTACGTTTGCTTGTTCAATAAACAATTTAAATAATCAATCAATATAAGTAATTAAATCAAATAATTTAAATGAACAATTGAAACAAATAAATGAAAAACAATTTAAATAAGTAATTAATCAAAACGCACAAAAATAAATAATGATTATTTAAATAATAATTAAATGATTATTTAAATGATAAATGAATAAATGTTAATAATCAAATTATTAATTAAAGTTTAATTGAAATAAATTTCTAACATTTAAAATAAATAATTAAATATTTACATTTACTTGTTCAATAAATAATTTAAATAATCTATCAATATAAGTAATTCAATCAAATAATTTAAATGAACAATTGAAACAAATAAATGAAAAACAATTGGAATAAATAAAAAAATAAATAATGAACATTTAAATAATAATTAAATGATTATTTAAATTATAAATGAAAAAATGTTAATAATCAAAATATTAATTAAAGTTTAAATGAAATAAATTTCTAACATTTGAAATAAATAATTAAATATTTATGTTTACTTGTTCAATAAATAATTTAAATAATCGATCAATATAAGTAATTAAATCAAATAATTTAAATGAACAATTGAAACAATAAATGAAAAACAATTGGAATAATTAATTAATTAAAATGCACAAAAATAAATAATGAACATTTAAATAATAATTAAATGATTATTTAAATGATAAATGAATAAATGTTAATAATCAAAATATTAATAAAGCTTAATTGAAATAAATTTCTAACATTTGAAATAAATAATTAAACATTTATGTTTACTTGTTCGATAAATAATTGATCAATATAAGTAATTAAATCAAATAATTTAAATGAACAATTGAAATAAATAAATGAAAAATAATTAGATAAAAATAATCAAAGTAAGTAATTAAAATGTAGATAAACAATTGAAATAAATATCTAACATTTAAAATAAATAATTAAATACTCAGTTAATGATTAAAATAAATATTGAATAAACAACTAAAGAAAAATATAACAAATAATTACATATTTACGTTTAAATGTTTAATAAATAATTTAAAGAAAATAATTAAATATACAATTATAATAAATAATTAAAATTAAGCATTCATTAAACAATTAAAGTAAATGTTAAATAAATAAATAAACAATTGAAATAAATAATTTAAATAAACAATTGAAATAAATAATGAACATTTAAATAAAAAAAATGATTTAAATAACTAATAAATATAAATTGTTAAAATAATTTATTTAAATATGTAATTAAATAAAAATAATCAAATTTAATTAAATAAAGAATTGAAATAAATTTCTAACATGGATTAAAACAAACTATGAAATAAATAATTTTACAAAAATTAGTTTTTCACTTTTTATAAGTTGTCTAATTTTTAATTCATTTTCTTTATTATCTGTTATTTCGTGCGTATATTACTTACAGTTCGGTTAGTTGAATTTTGTGACATCATGTTTCAAATGTTCTAACATTTGAAATTTTGCAGAATGAATTACTACTTGAACGCAGCCTTGAGATAGGTTTCTGGCAAAGTTACGTCGAACTGTAATTTTGCCAGCTTCACAGCAGTATTGGATTCATTAGACGAGGAGCACGCGTAGATATTATGTCGATCATGCCTATGGCCCATGTATTCGTTGTGATCTGTATAGTTCTCTGAACAGTTGATCGATTCATTACTGTGTCGGCTGCTTAAACCGATTGATGGAGATGCCCTCCACTTTGATCTTGGGGGTAAGATTGCTACATTTTCCATACTCGAGTTTGCACTCATCACTAGATTGAGATGTACCGACGAAGAGGCAGTGAGGGCCAGTATTTTGACAGACAAGAGGCTGTTGAATGATTATTTTAATGGGCATACGACAGTGACACTGGCGCAGTTAGGAGATGCATTCAGGGGATGTGACCAGATGTCCAACAAGTTGAAATTGGGGATGGTGTTTATACTGGAGAGTGTACTGAGGTGTCATCACAGGAAGACGTCGATTGACATTTTTCCTTTACAAGTTGTTGATGACATCGATACGTTCAACAGCTATTTGTGGGGGCATAGATGCTTTGTCGATACTTTACGTGTCTTCAGGAGGGGGCATTCGATGCCTAGCGGAGATAGACCGAAGCGTAAGTACGATGTATATGGCATGTCGTTAGCTTTGCAGGTAAATGTTTAACATAATGATTTATCTATTTTTTTAATTAAATTGTACATATAATAATCGTAATTATTGTAGATATGGGTCTATGAGACTGTCCCCATCCTAGTTAGTTGGTATGCGAGGAGAGGGGATACATGCATCCCTTGGATGCATCGCTAGCGAGCACAAGACAAGTACCTTACAAAATAGTTATCAACTATCATCAACGATCTTAAGGTACGTATTATATATTTGCATTTTCTGTTGTATGTCATTTTCGAAATCTCAATACGTGGTCAGTAATTCGATGAAATGTCAATATGTCAGCTTGAAGTCCTCACTGAGCTGACACCATCGATCGAGGAGGAGGATCAAACTTATATCCGTGAGTTGTTGACAGATCGTGCTGCTCGAGAGAGGTCTGAGTCCATCGTCGTTCGGGACACAGTATGTTAATTGAATATAATATGTTGATTATCATTATAATTTTTTAATTAAGATATTCATTTGTAATGTTTATTTTTTTAGGAGTGCCGTCAATTATCACCTCCGTTGAAGGTGTCACATTCCCCAAGGATGTCGCCTCTGTCGAGGGTGTCACATTCCCCGAGGATGTCGCCTTCATCGAGGGTGTCACCTCCCTATATGCGATCACCTCCCTCGAGAGTATCACCTCCCTACATGAGATCACCGTCTCTTGCGTCCGGACACCTCCCACATGGATTAGCTGCCCGTAGTCAGAGTGCTTCCATCGATGATATGTTCCGACTTATGATGGAGATCAGAGGTGAAGTAGCTGACTTATAACGTGATGTCGGGATGGTACAGGTCGGTTTAGGAGACCTTTATGCTGAGGTCGTAGCGATATGGGGCGACATAGTAGGCCTGCATGGGACTGACGAGTATCGGGATGGAGGGACAGGCGGCTATCAGGACGGAGGGGGTGACGAAGGGATAAGTGACTGTCGGGATGGAGGGGGTGACGGAGGGACAGGCGCTTATTAGGATAGAGAGGATGACGGAAGGGCCGGTGGAGAAGGTCGGGAGGGTGTCGGAGGAAGAGGGAGTACCAAAGGGGGAGGTCGAAAGGGTGCCGGAGGAAGAGGTCATGAGGATGTCGGAAGAGGAAAAGGAGGGGATACACAAAGTGCCGGAGGAGGAGGTCGTGAGGGTGTCGGAGGAGGAGGGGGGACCCGAGGTGGAGAGGGTACCATCTTTGATGCCAGACTCGCCGGACGTAGTTTTTATGTTGGAGGGGATGAAGGAGGTGGTCCCGATGGTAGATGAAGGAGTACCGGAGATTAGGAGGGTGTCATGTACTGTTGACGTGTCGGAGCTGGTGGTCGACAAGAGGCTGAGGGCACCATCACAGTACGTTGATGGCACGTACCCGAATTTATTCAGTGAGGTGGATCACGCTAAATAGAAAGCGTTCGAAACGAAGTGGAGATCAATTATACCGGGGTAAGTATTGTATTATTCGTTAAGGATTAGTACATTACGCAGATACTGACACATCTATATTTTTACTTAACAATTTCTTTTCTTATTTTTCAGAGCCAGTCGCAAGATTGCTCATAAGACGATCTCGAACGCTTACAAGTGGTTTCACGACATCACCACTTCGAGGGCTTGGCTCGTCGATGATGTAAGTGAAGTAGTAATATTATTATTTATTACGTATACATATTTTTGAGTTTTGAATTTATGAAATTAAATAACTCCTTTTAATTGGTGCAGCATATTGACTTCGCCATGGATTTGCTACGAGATCTAGCTGAACAACATCCAAGATCGTTCAACATTCCTGGCCGACTCATATTGAACACTGAGTTCATACGTGTCATTGACATTGAGTACCAGACGTTCCAAGTTATGGATAGCGAGTACACGGTGCCTACATACATGATGGAGCGGTCGTAGGGATGTGAACGAGTGTCGAGGGAAAGCCATGAGAGGGTTGTACGCATCTATACATCTCGGTGTGTGTTAATCATCACTACATTGCAGTGGAGATTGTATTCCCTGACTCGACTATGTATGTGTATGACCTCGATCATTCATGCTTGACACAAGGTCAGCTCGAGCAAAATTTGGAGTCTGTGTCTGTGATCCTTCCCATGCTGGCTAGACGAGCGAACATTACTGTGCAGGACAGACTGGCCATCGTGCGGGACATGACGACGGTGAGACAGCAAATATCGCAAGTGTTTATTATTTTATTTTTGTAATTTACAACTTCCATTATAGTTAGACGGTGATGTGCTAATACAATATTTTGTAATTGTAGGGGTGATTGCGGCATGTTCGCTATCAAGTACATAGAATTTTTGAATGTAGCACAGAAAGTTGATGCAATCAGCTAGGAGTGGATACAAAAATGGAGAAATAAATTAGCTTGTGATTTATTTGAATTTAATGGTGATCCGTAAATATTAGAGCCGTGTTTTTAAAATAATTGTACATATTGTAACGTTTAAACATTGTATAATTCATTCATTCATTTATAATTACGAAATAATTGTAAAATATATATTATTTTTTTAATATTTAATTTTTATTTTTTAGTTTATGTGTTTATTTAAATGTTTCATGACGTATTTATAATGTTTGAGTATATGATGGAAAACGCACTGAGTTTTTAAAAAAAAAAATTCAAATATTACGAAACTAATTAATGAAATATTGAAATAAAAAAATTAAATCTAATAATTAACATAAATAATTAACATTAAGAATATTTATAAATAATTAATATCAATGTTATAAATAATGTTACATAAACTTCAATTATACATCTGTTATGTTGTCATGCAGAGGGATTTGAGTTGTACAAAATCTTCTAGTATGTCTTATTGTACCACACCTGCTGCACTTATGAGGTCGGGAAAATTCTCCGGTCGATGGTAATCTAGACGTACGTGTACGTCCAGGAGTACGTGGACCGACTGGTGGTGGCAACAAGTTATTCAATGAGAGAATGTGATCGGGAACTTCCCACTCGGCTTCATTCGGTACAGAAAATATGGTTTCGGTATATGCTGCTCTCCAAGAACCAGTCGTGTAATAAGCACTGCATAAGGTGTGTGGTGGAATTCCTCTATACAAAGTCACTGCCATTGCATATGTACACGAAAAACTCTCAAACTGAAACCATCTATTCATGCACGTGTTATCATTCAAGTAGACAATGTATCCGAAATTACATCCACATCTCGCGGAGAAGCGAAACTGATCCAGCGGTTCTACATATACCTTCCTTGCCACCTGTAGAGTTTTGAAGAGTTTATCTTTCTGAGCTGGGGTTAGCACACTTATGCAACTCTGTGATTCCTCACGATGATCATGAAACCACTGTTGCAGCTTCTCACGAATGTTTTCAAGCATTGCGAGAATTGGTAACTCTCGATCTTTCTTGAATAAGGTATTGAACGACTCTGCATTGTTCGACGTCATCATGTTGTATCGACGTCCTGAAAAACGTGATCGTGCCCAATGTTCGATCCCTTCTCTGTTAGATACTCACATGCATCATATGATTTACTTTCTATTTCGACCATAAACTTTTCAAACTCTTGAAAACTGTAAGCCTCTGCAGCTCTCCTAAACAATGTAACGATGCCCTTATCTCGATACTTGGTCTTTAGATTTCTTTGTATATGGTACATACAATAACCATGATGTGCCTCGGGGAAGACTTCGGCGATACCGTTAATTATTGACTACCCTCGATCGATTACGAATGCAAGGTTTTCGACATCCCCAATTACTTCCCTCAATTTCGTGAAAAACCAATGCATTGTCAGATCATTTTCTCCGTCAACTATACCAAATGCAAGAGGGTAAATTTAGATGTTAGCATCTTGACATGTTGCAATAATCAACTTATCCCTGTATCTCGCCTTAAGGGTTGTACCGTCGACTAGGATTAAGGGTCGCATTGCGTTTCGAAATCCTCGAACGCATTGTCCAAAGGCCATAAAGAAATACTTAAAGCGATTCTCGTCATCCTTCTCAATAAAAAATGCCGATCCAGTATTTATTCTTCCTATGTTATAGCAAAACTTGATCAATTTAAATAAACAATAATCATAATTTAAATAATTAAATAAACAATATTAAAAAAATCAAAAAATTAACAATTGAATTAAATAATTAATTACACATTAAATAAAGAATCGATAAATAATTAAATAAACAATTGAAATTAATGATTGAATTAGTTAGACATTAAGTAAACAATTGATTAAATAATTAATTACACATTAAATAAAGAATCGATAAATAATTAAATAAACAATTGAAATTAATGATTGAATTAGTTAGACATTAAGTAAACAATTGATTAAATAATTAATTAAACAACTGAAATGAATAATTAACATTTGAAATAAATCTTAAATAAACATCTAAATAAAGAAATATTTGACCAATTTAGCATAACTCTCCTCGGTTAAACCCATCAAGTCCTCCAACGCGCATTCTTTGGCCTTCCAAGCCTTCTGATAGCTCATGACCACCCCGTACTCTCGACGAATGTCATTAATAATGTCCGAAGGTCTGTAGAATGTTTGTGGGTCCTGAAATTTGTGCATTACTTCTCGACCAATGAACCATGATCGGACTTGCCTGTGATCATTTCGACGAATACTCATTTCGCAAGTATGTTCCCGTGCATATTTACAAACCACAAAGAACTTATTTATGTTCATTTTCGTTGCCTGCAAATGCCAAAGGCAACTGTCGCCAATGCAGACAATTGTGTAAGTCGACTTATTTGATTTCTTCACTTTAAACTCAAAATTGTATTTCAAAGCAATCCGGTGAACAGCTTCCTATAAATCTTTCTTCGTGTCAAATAGTTGCTCGACATACAAATCTTCATCATCGAGGACTATACGCGAACAATTAAAGGACCGTGCACTCGGTCTAGCCTGTGACCTCCCACTTGACTCATGTCTCAGGATAAAGCAATCAAATTCTCATTTGTAAAGTCATTATCTCTTTCGTTGTCTTGAATTACTGAGCAAATTCTGTGTGTAACAGTGAGATTATAGTGAGGAGTAACTGTCTCTGGAATAGCCACAATATCATCACGCACTATTTCCACTGTGTTCCAAAACTCATTCACATTACGATCCCCTCCATCGCAATCTTCGTGTTCACTCTCGAGGACATTCTTTTTCATCAAAGTTACTCAAATAGGAATCGTACGTTTCTGGGTCATTTCACTTAAAACCTTCATTTCAACTTCAGAAGTAACATTCTAGGTGGAATTGAAATGGATGGATACTCGCCCATTAGAAATCCTAATTCCATGTCATACTTAGAGGGATCGACTTTCAGCAAGTTCTGTATCTCACTGTACATTCTGCGTATGATGTTATTACAATTGCAGTACAACCATGTCTTTCATTCGTCCATTTCCACACTCATCAATCATTTTCATTATTTTCAAATTCACCAAAGTAACAAATCGGGACAGCAGCTGATCCCATATCTATATTAGGAAACATCATTTATTGAAAAAATTGTAATTAGGAGAATAAAAGGACGAAAAAAATACGACACACAATCATTAAAAAAAAGGGCCCGAACTGTTCGGGCCGACTGTTGCAGGATGTTGACATCCGAAACATCCGGCCCCAACGATCGGGCCGACTGTTAACATCCGGCCCGGACACTCGGGTCGGATGTTAACAACCGGCACCGTCGTCTGGCCGGCTGTCTTCCCCATTTTGCATCTGAATAGATGAATTTTTTTCCTCATTTTTGCTAAAAAAATTATATATCCGTTTAAAACTGTAATAATTTATTTTTCTAAAGTCATACGCTAAAATAAGATTTAAAAATTCAAACAATGTACTAATTTAACTAAAATGAAATTAAAAATACATATTTATGTGAGTAATATTTTTTGTTGAGCCTTTGATAATTTTTTGAGATTTCAATGTTCAAGTAGATGGAAGAGGAAATTTCTTTTTAACTGTTTTGGAGAATCTGATAAGGAAAGTGATTTCATTTTGAAATTTAAGTGGGATTGTTTGGATTTATTAATTTTTTAAAGAGGGTATTATTGTCTTTTGAGCAAATGATATGCTTTTGTAATTACAAAGCATAATAAGGGCTAAAATGACATTTACTTTTCAAAAGGCTCTTTTAGTGAATGGCAAAAAAAATTTTGGTCAATGTGAAAAAATGGTATTTTGACTAGGTCTTTCTTAAAAGTACTCCTATTCAGGCCCCGTTTGGTAGTCATTTTTTTCAAAATGATTTTTTCTCTTTTCTTATCAACCACACATTATTTATTAAAATAATATTACATGTAAATCAAAAAATTTTCCTTATTTTTCAACCATACATTTCACATCAATTACTATTCTAAAATATATTTTTATATAAAAATGACTATTAAACACCCCCCAATATAAACTTTCAAAAGCTCATATTTGTAATTCAAATATTTGTTTCAAAAATATTTTTTATGTTGTAAAATATTTGGATCAAGAAGTAATTTTTGGTATTCCTTTTATTGTTCAAATTTATCCTTTTCAAGCTACTTCAAAAAGTTTAATTACAAAGATTTTTGATCAAGAAATTTGTTTCAATTTTACAAATCCTCCTTCTTATAAAGATGTTAATTCTTTAAAAGAAGCATCAATTTCAAAAATAGTCAATAATATCAATTTCAAGAAAAATCATATTCGATTTCTCAAAAAAGAAATTAAATTTCAAAGAATTGAAGAACAATTACAAAATCCTTCAATTCAAGAAAAAATTTCAAATCTTCAAAAAAAAAAAAAAAATGGGAAAAGAGATTTGTTCTACTATTTCAAATGCTTTTTGGGATCGTACGAAACATGTGACATCTCTTCCATACAATTTTGATTTTCATGAATCAAATATTTTTACAAAATCTTGTCCTATTCAAATAAAAAAAAATTTGTTACACTTTTGTATCTAGAAAATCAATGATTTACTTGATAAATGTTTAATTCGTCCGAGCAAATCTCCTTGGAGTTGCTCAGCTTTCTATGTCAATAATTCGACTGAAATTGAACGAGGTACTCAGCATCTTGTTATCAATTATAAATCTCTCAATATTGCTCTTCAATTGATTCGATATCCACTTCCTCAAAAGAAAGCTCTTTTGAATGGATTATTCGAAGCTGTTATCTTCTCAAAATTTGATATGAAGTCAGGTTTCTAGCATATTTAAATTAAAGAAGAAGATAAGTGCAAAATTGCATTTACTGTTCCTTTTGGACAATACGAATGTCATGTCATGTCATTTGGTCTGAAAAATGCTCATTCTGAATTTCAAAAAATCATGAATGATATTTTCAATCCATTTTCAAGTTTCATTATTGTTTATATTGATGATGTTCTCATATTTTCTGAAAGTATAGAACAACATTTCAAACACATCAATACATTCATGCATCTTATCAAGGAAAATGGTTTAACAGCTTCTGTTAAAAAGATTGTTTTATGTCAATCAAAGATAAGATTTTTAGGTCATAATATTCAAAATGGTTCAATTATTTCAATTCAGAGAAGTCTAAATTTTAATAAAAAATTTCGTGATGAAATCTTAGACAAATCTTCACTTCAAAGATTCGTTGGTTGTCTCTATTATGTTGGCGACTTTATCAAAGAGATAATGTTGATTTGTGCTCCTCTTTTCAAAAGACTACAAAAGAACCCGAACCAATGGAGTCACGAGTGCACATTAGCTGTCAAAAAATCAAAAAAGCTATCAAAAATATTTCGTGCTTATCAATTCTTGACCCTACAACTTCAATTATTGTCGAAATCGATGCCTCTGATTTAGACTTTGGTGGTATGTTAAAGCAGCTTTCAAAAGAGTCAAGTCAAGAACAGTTGGTTAGGTTCCATACTGGTGTATGGACTAGCCCTCAAAAGAATTATTCTACCATCAAAAAAGAAATTTTATCAATAGTTTTATGATTTTCGAAATTTTAAGATGATTTAATCAATAAAGAATTTATTCTCAAAACTGATTGCAAAGCATCAAAAGATATTTTAAAAAAAAATGTGAAAAATCTTGTTTCAAAGCAAATCTTTGCTAGATGACAAGCTATTTTGTCTTGCTTTAATTTCAAAATACTATATATACAGGGAAAATCAAACTACTTGAACAGATTTTCTCACAAGAGAATTTATTCAATCTTGAGAGATAAGTGTGAGTGATGGAATTATTAAAAGTAGAGGGAAAAAAGAAGAAGAAAGTTAATATTCTTCTTCTTTCAATTGAAGACTATATTTCAAATTCACATGCATCTTCTTCCTCTCAAAATACTACCCTTGCTTCAAAATTAACTCCTCACCCATATGAAATCAATGAGTCAAAAGTTACCAATTTCAAAATAGCTATTCAAACAGGTATCGGAAAATTGCCAAAAATCAACCCCTCAAACAATTTCAAATATTTTACC